TTTGTTACTTGCATCAAAAAAAAAAAAAAAAGGAACACCCTCTTTTGCTGTTACAACAATGAGCTTTTAATACACAGAGAACAGAATGTAATCCAGACCATGTAACATTCAGGTTGGTATTACTGGGGTGGCAGGGAAAGTGTGTCCTTTCCTTCAACCAAACTGCATCCAGTTGAACAGGCTCTAGGTGAAGGGATTCATGCTGGGGATTTAGAAACATTTCCGGTAGATGTAAAAAGGACCACGTTCTTCATATTCTCTCCTATGAACCCAAAGCTGCTGGAAAGCCTTGAGAGATGCCAGGATGGAGCCTCCAGTCCAGACAGATGTTTTCCTTTCCGGAGAAGCTGATGAAATGGGATTATCATTTGGGCACATTCTAATCAGCTCTCTCTGGAAGCGGTCAGCAAAGCCTTTGAGCGTGGTGCAGCCCCCACATAACAAGATGTTGCCCATCAGGTTCTTTTTTAGGGTGACATCACACTTGTTGAGGGAAGTCATGGTCAGGAGAGGAAGTCCCAACTGCTGTGAGTTTATCAAGGATGGCTTAAAGAGCATTTCAGAACACAAGAATCTCTCTTTGCCAATAATGATAGTTTGCCCATCAGGAAGCTCATATTCAATCTCATACTTCCTGGGAGGTGCAGCTGCATCATGTTGATAATCCAGTGAAGTGAAACAATAGTTCTCTTTGATATCTTCTAAGATATTCCAGTCTTTCTCTGTGAATAATTTCACACTCTCATTTAATAACTTCATTAGGTATTGAGTGACATCCGATCCAGCATAGTCCACTCTTTCAGTAATGCTTGGCATGGTATATCCTTCGTAAATGGGAACTACATAGGAGACACCATGACCACTCTCTACAACAAGACCTGAGGTCTTTCCATAAGAATACATTGACAATCTTGACTGGTAAGCAATATGCATGGCAGGGGTGCAAAATGTTTCAAAGAGCATTTCTGCATATTTTTCTCTGTTGGTAGTAGGGCTTAGAGGAGGGTCTGATACTAAGACAGCATGTTCTTCAGGTCGAATCCTCATCTCCCTAAGGAAAATATATTCCCAGATATCTTGAACAGAATCCCAGTCCACTATTATTCCATGTCTTAAAGGATTGACAAGCTTTAAGGGTATTGTTGCATCCTGAAGTTCTCTTCCAACAAAAGTTTCCTTCCTGTTATCTCCAGTTTTTGCTGTCTCCTGGATATGCTTGCCCACAGTAGATGAAATCACATGCGTTGGCTTTTGTTCTCCAGCAAATCCACATTTGCAGGAGCCGGTACCAATATCTATGACAACAGCTCTTGTCTCCTTTACTATCCTCCTTGGAGTTGACTCTCCCTCTTCTCTAAATTTGGTGCTATGCTTAACTATTGGTCCTTTCTTTGATGGCAGAGAGCCAGAACTTGCACTTCCTCTGCTTGACATTTTATTTCCTGATGCTCATATATGCCTACTCTCCATGTACTGACCACCATTTCAAATGGCAGGAATGGACATGATTTAGAGTCCTGATGACACCAACAGTAAGCATTGTGACATCATAATGGGAATTCTTAGAGCAGTACTTCCAACACAGCTGGGAGCATCAATTTGGAGATGACTGTCCTAAAAGGGTAAGCTGCCTAAATTCAATTTTACCTACACTTAAGATCCAGAAAAGAAGGCTTTTTAGGTTATGTTTGTACAGTATACTGAACCATACAAATTAAGTTCACACATTTTAGGCTAAAACATGGCTTGCAAGTTTGTGGTCCAGCAATCATACAAGTCCAGCTTAAAGAACCACAGATATGACCTTGGAGAAGGAATGCAGCAGTTAGCCAAACATGATTTAAACAGAGGAAAGAAGACAACTCTAGAAAGAAATTTAAACTGGCTCTCTTCAGCACGAGGAAGGGAAAAGGCTTTCAAGATTGTTACTATAGCCTAAATTAAAGATCCAGTATATCTTGTGGAGTCTGTTTCCTGCCTTGGCCTATCTTGAAGGGCTGACACCAATCTTGAAAACTCCTTTTATTAGGAGAGGCAGAGAATCTTGCCTTTGATCGAAGATATAGCATCTGATCCTCAGGGCACCCGTCTGCTAAACATCTTGCTGCAGCATTATTGCAACACCCACAAGTGCAAACATGAAAATGCTGTGGTGCAACTAGCACAGCATTTGGGACAAGGCTCGCCTCAACCAACAATGGCACAGCAGCTGGCAGCCCAACCAATACTTCTGCACTTGCGTGGGAGTTTGCCAGAACAGTTTGGAAAAGCTCAGGATCAATTCCAACTTTCACAACTCCACACTGAGATGGTTTATGGCAGGTTGGATGACAGAACTTCCTACAGATCTCATCAAGATGATATTTGTTCTAGGTTTGGTGAAAGAAGAGACAGCCAAATGGGCTGTGCCCATTATTGAAAGCAATGGCCAACATAATTTCTGCATACACATCAAATTTTCAATTATTTACCAGAGATGTGGGATAGAATGTTTTGGCTCTGATTAACCAATTTTGAGGACTTGCTGACAAGCTAAGAGATGAATTGGTGAAACAAGGCACCCCAGAGAATTTGGAAGAGCTGTCTCGGCCATTTGGAAGAGTTGAGGCACAAAAAATGGCAAGGGGAGGGTTTTATAACCTCTCTTCACCCTAGCTCACCTGCCTATGGAGCCCCACATCAAAGGCTGACACCCAGCCTTACATATTTTGTCTTTTGATTTACCTTCAGCTGGGTTTCCAAAGACTTCTACAATAGCAACGAGGTTGTGGAATTGCTTGGAGATCAATTTTAAGGACTATTCTAGCTAATTGGTTGATGCTGTTCAAAGGATGAATTGTTGGATCCATTTCAATGTTCTATCTGTTTATTTCTATTGCTATTTAAATTTGTTTTGCTTGCCCCATGGAAACGTCTCAGTAGGGTTCTTTTTTTTAATCCCATGAATACAAACATTTATTTGGACTGGTACCCCTGAAGTTAGAAGCATGAATTACCGGATTATACCTAAATGTACAATTTCATTTGTGCCTGCTCAGAAATAAGCTCATTGAGTTCAGTGAGACTGCCAGATTACATAGAATTGCAACCAACAGAGATAATTAAGATAAACACTGAGCTTTTTAAAAAAATTAACAACTCTTATTTAGCTGGATGAAGTGAAGTCTCTTAGCTCCTTTCAGCCTGAACTACTTACAGCACTGTGAAGCTATAATGGTGTGTATGTGTGTGTGGGTGTAAAAGAGAAATAGTATCTCCACTACCTTGAGATCATTTGAAGAAATGCAGGATGTAGACAGGAGTACAATTTAATAGGTATTGCTTTGCACATCAACATATACACATATTGAAATAAACACAGGATTCCAAGTAATATTCCTTTTTTAAATAAGATCTCAGATTTCACATTGTAATGCCACAGCAATCCACTTAGAAACAGTACAGTGGTAAAGTGAAATTCAAACTGGGAAAGCAGATGAATGCCTCCAACATAGCAAGAAACATTATACCTCAGGCTGCAAGACAAATCTCACTACAGTACCTTTTGGGGTTTTCATCTCTTACCCATGCCAGTTTTGAAATGTAGAATAGTACCCTGAATATGGGCACTAAGTTTCCTTCCATCATGTCAGAGCTAAAACACAGTTACTACATAGCAAGCAAAAAGATTCATTCAGCAGCAGGGCTCACTTTAGCTGGCCAATTAGTTATAATGAATTCTTTAGCACAGAGGGCATAGAGATGTCATGGGTGAGGGTTCCACTGCAAAAGCACAAGTACAACAACGTTGTACAAACCTCCTACACTACCACATCCCTCCTATCCATAACAGCCACCCGCCTTCCATACCATTGGTCACATTAAGCTAGATAATGCTTTGGTACACTTCATAAGGCAATAGCATCAATATTTGCATATGAACACTGGAACTGAATTTACCCAATACTCAGTAAACTGTAGTGCATGAATAAAGCCAGAGTCCTCAAGTCATTTTGGCCAGTGTTCTTTAAGGTGTTCTTTTAACTGAGGGATAGTCGGTAGTTGCTGTTTGCACATGTGACACTTCAGAGGCAATTTCAGAAGTTGGAGAGCATTCTTATCTACAGTTACTTTTCCTTTCTTCTTTACTATTGCTATCACATCTGAAGAGGGAAGGTGGGGAGAGACATAACATATCAAGGATTATAGGTCTGGCCATATCCATCCCATTACAAAACTCACATTAATGGCTTTAGCTACCAATACTTTTCTCACTTTGAGAAAACCCTAGAAGCTGGGAGGAGAGGATTCCTTGACATTTCACATAATTTTCAGCAACATCAGCAAGCTCAAAGTCCCAGGATTCTTTCTATAAACCCCAAAATTAGCATCTGTAAGATGGCTGCATTTCTGGAGCCATCCCCACAATAGCAGACATCCAAAAATGTTTGGTATGAATGGGTTGGCAGAAAATTTGCTCTGGAAGAATCTTATAATCCAATCAAAGAAGGTAGCAGCCACATTTGTTTAACTGTGTCTGGGCTTTTCAAATATATACAGGAAAGAGATTTGCCCTTTTAAGAAGCTGAGCCCTCCCACATTTTCACTTTCCACGGTCCTTTTCTCTCATACTGGGAGAACATTCTGCAGGAGAACACCTTCCTTGCCTCAATTCCTTTGGTGTTAAAGTAGATGCACTTACCTACCCACTTGCTTTCTATGGGACGGGCACAGGAACTTTATTAAACCAACATAGCTGTGGCTTTTAAACTAGTTTGATCTTAAGTTATAGGGAAAAAAACCCAAGTCTGAATGGACGTAGACATTAAAAGAGATAACCTATGTTATTACCTGTGGAGTCTAAGAAGTAATTGGTTGTGAAAGAATTCCAGTGCTTCTTGGTTTTAAACCACTTAGAATCAAAGTCTTGGCTAATGACATGAAGATGTAGCTGGCTAAGAAAATGAAGCAAAAACGATAACTAGGTTTGGTGTGGCTACAACAAAAAGAAAAACAATATTAAAACAGTCTTTTTTACTAACAAAAGATATGGGTCAGAAGGCAGCATTCCTTCTAATGCATGTTTGATAGAGGGTTAGTGCACCCTAGTTCTGCCTTACCTCATGCTGGGAATGGCATGGTAGCCTAGTCTGAAGCACAAGTTGTCTTTCTCTGGGCACTGCTGGATTATCATTTCTCCAACCATGTGCATGTGCTTCAACAGTTGAAGGTGCTCGTGAGTCACTGCAAATAAAGTGGAAATAGACTTCCAGGGCAACACTAACCAGTGATAGCGAGCTTTTGGATATTTATCCTTTATAACTACAACTTGTTCATCCTTGAAGACCTAGCAAATAGGGAAGGAAATGCATCAGAGTTTACAATGATGTTAATACTCTCATGCATATCAGTCTTTAAGCAAAAGCAACATGAAACCCTTACCTGCATGTCTGGGTTTTGCATGGAAAGCTTCAGACCTTGAGCCCAGTATGGCACACATTCCTAAAGGACAAATGGAAGAACATAAATATTATGGATATATAATTTTTAAATTGTATCCCAAAGAGTCCAGTAGGACACACTTCCTGCTACTTAAGTAAGCAAGCTTAAGATTGCAATCTAAGATCAATTTAATTGTGCTATCTCAATAACTACAAAAATTTTAGGAGACACTTATATACTTTTCAGAGTATATGTAATGCTAAAACACTTATCACTTTGACACTGCTCCTAGGAGAAACAGAAATATAACTCAAAAGGCAGAAAGTACCTTACTCAAGACTAAGACCAATTCAGACAGTGCCTGCCCCCAGATGGCAACCTAGTTCAAAATGCCAGCCACTCACAAACTCTGAGCAACGAAAGCATTCTCGGTACTTTTTCCCTGCTCCCTAAATAATTATAAGTCTTGAATTAACCTCTCTCAATGATGGAATGGCTTTTATCAGCAAAACAGGAAGGGAAGGAGAGGTTTCCCTCTTCCTGCAGCCCTAGTATGCTCTCATAATTTCTTCTGAACATCTGAAGGATCCTAGAATAAATTGGGGAGGGGCGGTTTCAGGAATTCCATGTGGGCCAAAGCGAGGCTATTTCAGTCTGTTCTCACTCAAATATTATGGCTCCCCTCAAAAAAATTCTGGGAATTGTTAGCAGGGGTGCAGGGAATTCCCAGTCCTCATGTAATGGGCAGAAAGAATAACCTTGAAGAACAGGAGGAAGAGCTGTAACCAAGACAATGGTCTGATAAAAGAAATCTGAGTCCAGACCAGAACTGTAACCTGAGAAAGTGTCTCAGACAAGACCCTCCCTAGTTCTCCAAAGAAGGGAGGGAGGGGTGAAGCACATTCAGACTTGAAAGATTCTGTTATTATAAACTAAATAACTAAGTAGTATTAGCGTGCATTACTTTGGTTTCCTAGTCTGGTCTACCTTGAAGGTCTGACACCTCCTCACAGAAAGTGGAAGACTTGCCAAATCATCTGAAAGCTGTTACAGATAAACTCCTGTTATCTCATCTACTCTTTAAAGCAGGGATCAGCCATTAAATTAGTTTCCATTAAACTGATCCTCAAAATTAAAACCTCAGGTTCAATCCCCCACCTTCTCTTCCATCATCCATATATCCTAAGTGAGTCAAGCAAAATTGGGAGGCAGGTCTTTAGAGTTTCTCAGGAAGCCCCACAGCTTGTAGAAGTTCTTACAACTATTTTCTCTTTGATGAGAGAAAAGCAAACACCCAGATGATTGCTCAAACACAACTCAGGGCAGGAAAAAGGAAGGCTGAGATTTTGGGAAAGGAGAGGCCTTGGTTTGAGGCTCCATAGACTGAAGATTCCCCATCCCTACCTTCCTGCATTCAGTTCTGTAATAATACCAGTTGTAACTCATATTTCTTGGCTCACCATTTTGCTAGAAGAGCTTTCAAATGAAGAAACAGAACTGCCATCCGTCACCTCACTACATGAATCGTAGTTTTGTGGTTCCACGTGGTCTGTTTTTATTTGTTTTCCTGATACACTTTCCACACTGTTCTCAGGTTCACTGTGTGGCCTTTTTTCACTTTGGAGTTTCTTGGTTTCCCGACTAGCACACGTGCCCATTTCCTCCAAGAATTGTACAGTATATGGATACAATTTATTGACAATATGGAGAACCTGTCCTGGCTTCAGTTTAGTTTCTTGATCTTTGCCAACATCCACTAGATCAATACTGGTTGGATTGACTCCTATCTTGATAGCAAAAGAAAAAGCCAATATTATTCATCATACTAATACCTGAATTCCCTGAAAGCCAGCATCCCTGAAATATATTGTGATATTTCCTACCTTATCAAACAATAACTGACCATCTCATTTTAGCAACATCATAACAAAAATGGATTGAGCTTTATAGGTTTACCTTTCAAGAAGAGATCAGTACGTTTTTGCCCCAGCATGATGCTTCGAAGAGGAATATTAGTTTGGATCCAGATAAGACCTTGACCAAAACCCCAAGGGACTATGTGTGTCAGGGGCTGGGTTTACATACAATGTTGAGCCATAATCTATAGTTTACATAGAACAATAGCTTCCTCTGAATTTTATACAATTCTAACATGAATTTTAATTGGCTAAATAGTGCAACAAAAGCTAGGATGTATTAAAATAGGAGTGACAGTGGCTTCTTATGTCTCTAAGGTATTCACCATCCCCTAAAATGCTCTCCTCAGTTTCCACAAATTAATTATACACACACACAAAATCAAATAGTGAAAATCTTGTGATGGGAGAGTGCCCTGAGGACTGTCAACCAGGGCCTGAAAAAAATGCTGATTTCTATAATTATTTATATTTTAATATTTAATAGTTTGCAGGTGAGGAGGACTAAGGAGACACAAGGGAAGAGCAGAAGGTCTGCCATAGCACGGACTGTACTTTTGCTTCTGCAAAATTTTATGTTCCTATGCAAAACAGGCTACATAGCTCTAGGTTAAGGTTCCTTTAATCTGAATTTATGCACTGAGGGGAGGGTCTCAAAGGCCTCTTAAACTCCATGATTCTAAAAATATCAAGAATTAGAAATATTTCCCAATCCATTGCAAATGCACAGAAACTACCCAGTCTATTTTCCACCTGCTCCTAGTTCAGACTGATTGCTATCCCATACCAACTAATCTGGGAGTAAGTCCCACAGAACCAGTGGGGCTTACTGCTGTGAAGACATATATAGGACAGCATTCTAGTCCTCCTATAAGGAACAAGGAAATCAAAGAAATTCAGCTTTACTTTCTGGATTGAAGCAAACACTTCTGGATGAAGTCTGTTATATATTAAAAGAAGACTGAGGAATGTAGTAGTTTTCCACCAAGTGGCATGGATCTTAACAGGTGGAGCAAAAGAATGAAGTTAATAATAAAGTTCAAAGTTAATAAAATATAAGTATAAAATAAAATATAAAGAAGTTTCTCCTGATGCATGGTCTTATTCAATAGTTAATCCACCTACTCCAAGCAAAAGCCTCCTCAGTGAAATCAAACCTTGGTTAGAGAAGGCAGCTGAGTCTCTTGCTTTATTGATCTCTGTGGAAGCAAACTGAGTAAAAGGGAAATCGTGCTAGAGAGTTCCTCTTTTTCTAAAGACAAAAAAGAAAAAAAAAACACACTTCCATTCCTTTGTGTCTGCGGATTCAGTTATAATATAGGTTCAAACCAGCCTAAATACTCTCCTGGTTTCCCCTTGGAAAATTCTGGAAACTGTAGTTTTATAAAGCATTTCCTGAGCACTTTTGTTACAAGCTATCAAGCCACCCAGAGTCACCTGATCAAGAACTGTGACAGTTACACTCATTAGGAACTGGCTTAAATGTGAAAAGTGAAGTTTCCTTAAACCTTAGCACACACAGTCACTTACCCCTCCCACTCTGTTTTTTAACGATTTGAAAGATTTCAAAGCTGCTTTTGAAACTGATGTGACACTGAAGTCCAAAGCAAGTAAATTCTTAAGAAATATAGAATACGTACAATCCTCTTCTCAATAGACTTGGCTTGCGGTAAGACAAATTGAGGGTTGCTCTGTTTGGGCTTAGCATGGTTTGTAAACCCAGTCACTGTGGTTTGCAAATTGTGGTCTATTTTTAAAAGCATTTATTTACTACATTTATAAAACACCCAATCATTTCAATTCCTTGGCCTCAGCGTGTAAACTCAACCACCAATGGTTTGTAAAACACATTTTATAGCTAAACATGTTTTGTAAACTCAGTGAACTGTACTGATTCAATAAACCTTTTTTAAACCATGGCTTAGCACAAGGTGTGAACCAGCTCAATAGCACAGCAAAGATTAGTTCTTATAAGACTGAAGGATTTTGTTCTTCTGTTTCAGCTTTAGCAAGTGCAAAGAAACGATTCAGTAATGCTGTATGGAGGGAAAGGGCGTACCTGTTTAACCTTGACATACCCTTTGTTGTAATCTGCTTTTAACTGTACTGAAAAAAAAAGGTGACAGAGAATGATATTAGGTTGTGAATTTTATGGACATGAGGGAGAAGGGAGAGAAAAATGGGTCAATTCAGAAAAGCAAACACTTTGACAATGATACAGTTTAAATTAAAAAAATAGGTGCTAGCAGACAACCAATTTATTCTCAAACATTTCTTTTGTCAGTTTGGAAGTAAATACAGCCAGAAAATGATGAAGAGCCATGGTCACATGGATTAAAGTTATTGCTAAAATTAGATGCTATCATGGATTAATACTTTATTTCAATCTCATACTGTCTCCCTACTCCTGATTAGCAGGGCAGTCCCTGGGTTTTAGTACCTGTCCTCAAGGAGAAAAAAGCTATATATTTTTTTCTTTTTCAGACTAAGTTTGTGTGCACATCTGCACTAGGGTTCTTCACATGCCTGCACCCCAGACTGTACATGAATGTCCTATACATGGACAGAAAATGTTAAGAAACTCCTCATTCAGTGCATTCCAGGACTATCTAAGCAGTATATGTGGCTGAGTGTGTGCTGGAGTCACTGTTATCCTCTGACAAGGGCAGATTCCACACAGGATTAAAGCTCTCTATTAAACTTTCTTATAATACTTCAGCTACTGTACAGGTAGTCCTCTACTTATGACCATTTGTTCAGCGACTGTTCAAAGTTACGACAGTGCTGGAAAAATGAACTTACAACTGGTCCCCAAAGTTATAGCCATTGCAATCCCCCCATGATCATATGATCAAAATTTGGGTACTTCGTAGCCCGCCCACACCTACAACTACAGAGGCGCTTCAACTCCCCTGCAGGGAACTGGGAGAGAAGGCAGCTGGGTGAAAGAATGCTTGCTGGCACTTGCTGAGGCTTCCCAGGTGCTGTGGCTTGCTGTGGCCTTGTTTTTTTGCAGCACAAATGGCAAGCCCGAACCCGGCCCAGCAGCCCAGCCAGGCACACCTCATCAGCAGTGGGAGCAAGACAGCAAAGGTCAGCTGGGGCAGCAGAGCCCAGGGTGGCAGGGGTCTCAGAGTGCAGCGTGGTGAGGGCGACTGCATCTGGGACCGGACTGGGGTGGCTTCCCAGGATGTGGCAAGCAGCCCCAGAGCCGTGTGGTCCTGGGACTGCTTGCCGCCCTGCAAAGCAGGGTGCAGGGTAGCCAAAAGGGCAGAGGGGGGGAAATAGGCGGGGAGGTGGAGGCAGTCCCTTACCTTACTGAGGCTTGGGGCTGGGAGGGACTGAGCCCAGAATGGCTTGGATTGGGGTGGGTCCTTGGCTAACAACTGGTGAAATTCACTTAATGATGGCAATGGGAGTTGCTGTTGCTAAGCGATGCAGTCATGTGACATCTCACTTTATGATCGCATTGCTTAATGATGGAAATTCTTGTCCCAATTGTGGTCGTAAGCTGAGGACTAGCTGCAGCTATTTCTACCCACCAACAGGCAAATTGCAAATATAAAAGTATGGCCTTCCTTTCATCTATAAAATGTTGGGAAGTACAGGTAGTCCTCATTTAGCAACTGACTTGTTTAGCAACTGTTTGCAGTTACAATGGTGATGAAAAAGTAACTTTGCAACCAGTCCTTACATTTAGCAGATCTGTAAAGCAAAGGAAAGCTGAAGTAAGATCATAAGCACAGCTGTGGTTTCACTTAGCAACCACTTCGTTTAACAACTGAGTTGCCAGTCACAATTGTGGTCGCTAAATGAGGACTACCTGTACAACAAAATATTACTTAGTTGCTATAAAATGTTAAATCAATGAAAATATGTCACATATATAATCTTGTAATCCAGACACCTATTTTTATTACTTTCCTCTGTAGTACATCTTTCAGAGTCTTTAGGAATAGATGGCCAATTAATAAATCTAATTAATAAAAGTAACCTGGGAAACTGAAAGCAGCCATCCTTGAGAGTTGAGCAGAAATTAGATTCAAACCACAGTTTTCCTAATCCATAGCTCAATCTCTTAGCTACTTAATTATTACTCACCACACCACCTATTCTGACCCTTTATTTGGCACTGAAGTACTTATGCCATTGAAAGGAAAAGGAAAAGGAAAAGGAAAAGGAAAATCAACTTACAGAGCAATCCAAAGTAAAAGCTATTGAATTTACTAAGATTTACTCCCTAGCATGCTTAGGACTGCTACCTTAACCTCCAATTTACCTTGTCTTCGTGAACATTTCTTGTCTGTTATCTCTGTTTCAGGCCCACGCCCTATCACCACCATTTCTAAGTGCGGTAGTTTAATTCGGTGACAGCTTCTATCTTTGCTCACTAGCCAGCACACACGCATTGTGCTCAGGGAGGAGAGAAAAGAAAAGAAAAGAAATACTCAGTTTTACTAAGATTCAGCTAGGGAGAATGATCTACGGTTCTATAGAAGTATTTTATTCCAGAATACCCACTAGAGGTATTCAATAAAATTTACTCTCTCCATCTACAAACGGAAGAACACAGAAATATACAAGACTTCAAATACCTTATGGTCCAAAATGTTGAGATACAAACTATTTTCATCTATTTTATAAATGTAAAATTCTTACAGATAAAATTGAGAAAATAAAACTGATTAAACATAGTTTACATTATGCTACATTTTCAATTATATTGTTTATGCATAACATATATTTATAATTCTACTAGAAACTTAATAATTAAATTATAAAGCATTCCAATTAAAGAAATTGTTCTGTAACTCATATGGAGTCTATGTCCATTTTTTAAAAACTATACTTTTGTATAAGCCACAGAATAATTTCATGCACTCTAATGATTTTCAGCATATTTGTAAAGCACGATTTTTGAAGTCTGCCAGTAGTTTTTAAGTAGCAATTTATACATTAATACAGACCAAAACCACTGCTTCATGCTAGGCAAAGCTGTTTCCTCATCTTCAGGAGAAAAGACAGAGAATCTACTTATTTGGAATGAGTCCACCAGCACCTTGCCTTTTTCAGCTGATGAAGTGCAGCGCTAAGCATTTTACTATTGGCCAAAGGGCAAAATTATGTAATGATGGGTGAATTAGCTGAAAGCACTGTGCCTATAAAATGAAGGTTTTCTATAATTGGAGCTGTTTCTGAGTGTGCCTACAGTAGAGTCCAAGCAACCTAATTATTTTTGCAGATAAAAACAAGGGACATAATCATATTTAAGCTGAATGTTTGCTCTCCTATTTTTAGCACGCCCAGAATACTCCAATAGGTAGCTTATTTAGTTTCTAAACTGAAATACAGAGTTAACTGTATTTTGTTTCATGAGAAATTCAGAAAAGAATTTTAAATTCGTTTGGGGAAAGTCTGCAAAACCTTAGCTTTTGAACAATGATAAATAAAAACATTAACTGCCTTTTTTTTTTTTTTACTACATAACTACTGCAACAGAGGAACCAAGCAAAAAGTGCAGTTAGTTATTTTTTTTTTTCTTTGTAATTCTCAGTTTCGTAATCACTTCAGAAGGTGCTTTTTTTGAACTCAACGGGATTCCGTATCAGGCAGCAGCAGGGTTCAGCCCTTTCAGAATCCAGAAACTACTTTGCAGGAGAAACGGAACTGGTTAGCTTCCTTTTTTTTCATCGTGATATTGCAAATATGACCGATCAGGACTACGTTCGACACACACACACACGGGATTTTGAAGTGGACAACTGCAACGACTTATAAGAAGCAGCTGCTCACGGATACACGGATCCAAAGTTTGGCTCTACATTGTATTCTACCCAGGCTATGAGCCACATCACCGACACCCAGATTTAATGCATGTTTACTAAGAAGTCCATTTTACTAAGTTCAGCCTGCAAAGGACTGCGGCCGGAGTAACACGGAAACCCGGCACTATCAATGAAGCACTGGAGGAGCTGGAGTCTGGCTCCTCGCAGTTTAGAGTCACTGACTGGATATACGAGTTCTTCCTAGGAAGGTGTTATAACAGGAACATTCTTCCAGACAAAAAGCACACGCCTTGCGCCATCCCCCAATGCAATTTTGTGCTTGACTTTTTTACAGACCATTACGCCATCCGATTTCGTCCCTCCCATATATTTTCGGTGGATTATTTCTCCCTCCCAATAAATACCAGAAGCTTTTTCTCTTCCTTCCTCCAACTCACACTCCCTTGCGTTTCTGCTCACCTCCACGTTGCCATCTCTGCACACGTCTACATTTCCCTAGCCAATAGCGTCCCTCTGTACTGCTTCGAGACCAATCAAATCAGTTCCTGATTCCTTATTCCCACCCCCTAGGAGGAAGGAAGTAAATACCAGCGAGCTTCTCGGCCTTTCTTTCCCGCGGATGGAGACTAGAAAAAAAGTGTTTGGTCGCGTGTGAGTTGCAGATGTACAAAGATTCTTCGTTGGACTTTCTCTTTATGTTTTAAATGTACAGTAAAAGCTTTAAAAATATGGGATGGACGGATGGACGTTGGGGTTATTTTAAAGAACTATTGTACTATCAGTATGTAGCTAAATCAAATAAAAAAGGCTATGCTGATCCATTTAAAAAACCCCAAATCATTGCCAACTAATATTGCTATTAAGGCCAATCAAAATCTCACCAAATATTTAGCGAGCTCTTGAATTCTCTAAAACGTTTTAGCAGGCCGGATGTTAATTAAAGCAGAGATGGGAGAAGCTGCTGCTTTGAGGCTCCCATGAGGATACTACTTAAGTGACATAAAAATGACATGCAGCTAATGTGTATTTTTAAACAATTGCTATGCTGAATATACCAGAATTCAAAATCTTATGGAACTACTTTCAGGAGAATTAGGGCTTCCAAAATCTGGATGCAGAAGTCACAACATTAAGAGTTTTCTGAATCGCTTTGCCTCCACTTAGTAGTCTTGTGGATTTCTGCAGGCCTATGGTAGGTAGGTGTAGGATTTCAATTTTTCTGAGCACCTCTTAAGAGTTTGATTCTAAGCAGCTTTTGTTGTCCTTTTGTCTAGATGCCACTGCTGCTTCTGAAATTCCACAGTTGAAGATTTGGGAGGAATTAACTCCAGTAACCCATTTTTAGAGAAGTTGATGAAAAAAACGCTGTTACATATTTGTGCAACTCTGGAACAAATTTAAATGTCCCGCCCCAAACCATCAGGATTGTTTTACATAATATGACATTAATTTCCTATAATCTTTTGAGGGCAATACAATAAAATGGTGCTTTATATATATTGGATTCTTTTAAATATTTAAAAGGAAATGTGTAGGTATAAATATCCCAAACAGTAAAATCTTAAGATTAAAATTGGTATTAATATGTTTTAAAAATCCCAATGAGCTTATGAGGAAAGATAAACTTTGTAAAAAAAGGAATATTACATTATTACATATTATATTAAAAAATAAGAACTTAAATCTAAGGATTTAAAACAAGAATGATCCAACAAAAGATCTTTCATCTTTATTTGTTTCAACCAAAGAATGCTTGAAAATATTTGGTTTTCTGCCTCAGTATCCTGGAAATGTAAAATATTGAAGGGAATACTTACCCATATCTTATGGGCTTCGTGTGATATTGCCCTATTTCAGTTTAGTATCCACAAATTTTTAATACATTTGGGGAAGAGTAATATTTAAAGATAATGCAGTTGTGAAGCATAAACCAGAAATGTGGACTTTAATTATTATATGAAAAATTAGATTTATGAAGCATGTGATGTAGCAAAAAAAGGTTATTCTTTTACAATGGAACAATAGTGCTATCCTGGTTTTATTTGATTAATGTTACAGTATGTGTTCACATTCTGCTTACGAACTGGCTTTTCACTGGTATTATGGAGAGGGAGTTCAATATTATTCTATGTGGTCAACTTTTAATCATGTGTTTGAAAACTGAACTGCTTTCCATATATATTAGAATTTTGGGGGGAGGGCTTTTTTTCCTTTTGCTCCTTGTTCTTTTTCTGTATATTAAAGCAATTTAAAAATTGTGAAATGAATAGATTTTTATTAAGCTTACATAAAATAAGTCTCTTACCAATTTTAGTATCAGGATGTTAACTGTATTGTTGGAATTATATGCTGCCTTTTCTCCAGGAGCCTGAAGTGGAGTACTGATTCCTCTGATTTTCTTCCACTACAATGATCCTATGAGGCAGGATAGGCTGAGAGGTAATAACAGGTCCAAAGTCATCCAATGAGCTTTGGGTGGACTTGAATCTGGATATGTGCAATTTTAGTCCAAAATTTCATACAGATAGTCCTTAACTTCCAACCACTCATTTAATGATTGTTCAAAGTTACAACAGCATTGAAAAAAGTGACTTACAACCTGTCCTCGCAATTATGACCATCATAGTGTCCGTGTGGTCACGTGATCAAAATTTGGGCGCTTGGCAACCAGCATGTATTTACGATGGTTGCAGCTTCCCGGGGTCATGTGATCACCATTTGTGAACTTTCCAGGGGACTTCCAACGTGCAAAGTCAATGGGGGAAGCTGGATTCACTTAATGACTGCAGTGATTCACTTAACAACCATGGCAACAAAGGTCATAAAATCAGGCACAACTCACTTAACAACACATTGCTTAGCAACAGAAGTTCCGGTCCCAATTGTGGTTGTAAGTTGAGGACTACCTGTATAACATGAGCTTGTACAGGGCCAATCCTATCATTAGGTAAAATGAAGCAATAAATCAGAAGAGGCAGCAAAATAGAGGCAATCCCACACCCACTGACCTGTTACCTGGAGAAGCCACATCCTGGTGTCTGTGGCTCACAACTCTGTCCATTGTTCCAAAGACCTGTTCAGAGTGATGTATATATGGAGTAGCCAACTGGCCACAGTTCAGAAGCAGTCATTGACTGCTAGAGGGAAGACAGCGGATCAGTGAAATATTCTCCCATCTCGGGTAGAAAGCCTTGAGCTAATCCTCTGAGGATTAGGAACACTTAAACAAATGTAATTAAATTTAATTGATTTAAGTGAGCTTAACTGCACCTACCTATATAATAGGAATCAGGAATCTCAGTGAGGTTTACACTTTTTTTTTTATCTGCACTCAATCGTGGCCGATTCTGCGGCGACTGCCTGGAAGAGTACCTGCAGTTTTCATGGCAAGGTGTTTCGGAAGTGGTTTGCCATTGCCTCCTTCCTAGAGCAGAGCCCAGCTGGTGAGCGCAGGAGGCAGGGTTTCTGTTGCTTCGTGCCTTTTTCGGGCGTTCGTGGCTTCCGTGTTACCGGCAACTGGTCCCGTCTCCCATGCAAGGTGCCGCCAGCATTTTTCCTCCCACCAGGGTGAGAGTACCCATTTATCTACTCGCAGATGCTTTCAAGCTGCTGGGTTGGCAGAAGCTGGGGATGAGACAGGAGCTCACTCTGCCGCATGGAGCTGGGCTCAAACTGCTGAAGTGTCGACCATTTCTGGCCGGCAACTTTCAGCGTCATTAAGCCACCGCACCACCGCGTCCCCATATGGTTTACACTATTGGTTGGGAATCTTTGGACCCCAGAATTTATTTCTGCTTTTCCTTCTAGTGAAGTAACAGAGAAACAGTGATCTGGAATGGAATCATCATGGGAGCAAAGAGGATAACACTGCCCAGAGTCACCTGCGGTGAGATGGGCGGCTATATAAATTGGTTTAATAAATAAATAAATAACATTTCTCCAGTAATGTTGTTCCCAGCCACTGCTTCTCCACTGCCATTGTCAATGGAGATGCAGTGATTTTGAGCAGAATCGTTAAGTGAGAAAGACTAAGGCTCACTCTCCGCCAGCAGTTCTGTGAGTGACTGTGTGTTGGCATGTATATGCATGCCTGTGTGTTTGCTAACTCAAAACAAATGTGTCCCTCAAGGCCAAAAAGCTACCACCCCACTTATATCCTCATACAG